TCAAATTATCTAATAAAATTCAAATTACAAATTACCTAAAAAAATTTGTTACTTTGCAAAACTCAAATATTTCACTATTAGAATAAAAAATTATTAATTAATAAAAAATAAAATATACACATTTCAGTATTAATATAAAAACGTAAAAGAATTTATTAATTTACGAAACTTAAACTCTATCACCAATTTCAAAATATTTCAGTATTTATTTATTAATATAAAATAAATATTTATTAATCAATATGAAAACAAAAATTTTATGAGTTACTAAATATTCACTACGTGCGATGCACGTGCCTTTTCCTAGTATATATATATATATATATATATATATATATATAAAGGGTAAAATCATCGTTTGACACATCAAATATTATGTTATTTATGAATAACAACATTTAGGGTAACATAGTAAATACTCACTCATCGCTTGTGTTAATGACCCTAATTTTGCCGAGGTTAGGATAATTTTGCCAAAACTTTAATCTATAAGTGCAAGCTCCAAATTTTAAGGGAGGTTAAAGTCATTTACTTCGATTATAATTAATAAAGGTGTTAAAATACAATATGGAATGGGGTGTTATATAATAATATAAATATTTTTGTTACGCCTATTTTGAGTTTAAAAAATATGATGAATTAATCAACTTTATTAATTTCAATATAAAGTGAGTACAATCCTTCGTAAAATTGTCTTCAGATTCGATCTCCTTTATGAACCAGACTCGAGGGCTTTGGATGTTGGATGAATTCAGAGTTTTAGCAAAACTTCAGTCTTCTTGTTCGATTCTTCTCCCCTTCTTCATCCCCATAGGCCTCTATTTTAATAGGCTCAACCAGAAATGTAGAGACCCTTTGCCTTGAACCATGGTGCATGGATGCTCCGATCGGGATTTGACATGTGTTAATTGCAATTATGTTGATAATTATTAATTATTTTGATAAATATCGAATGTGACAATTATTTGTTAGAAAATTTATTTAAGGGTAAAATACAATTTTTTTTTTTTTTTCAAATTATAAGCTAATAACACAAAACTCTCTGAATTAAAAGGCCCCCTAAACTATTAAAAAATTCCATTTGAGAACAACAGGTTAGGTCTCCTGTACAGGAAAAAAAAAAAAACAAAGAAGATTAAAATTTACCCTACACCTACACGGTGCTTTATAAACTTGTGTAGCTAACGTGTAAAACAAAATATAACCCAATCGCGATCGTAAAATTATCAACCCATCATCGACAAAACCATATAAGAGAACTTTCACTGAAACTACTGTCGCTGCAACAACCACGTCGACGGGTCTCGCCGTCGAAACACCATCACAGCCATCGACCTTGTCACCACCGCGTTGATTCTTACTGTCGCCATCGTATTCCTCTCCAGATCTTCGCCATCATCGGATCTGTTGGTTCTTCTTATTGCTTTGTTCGTTGAATGAAGAAGCTGACCAGATTTGGGTTCTGAAGTGGGTTTTAAATCGGGTCAAGACAATCCGATTTAAATGGGTAATAAGGCTATTCTTGGCATTTAAAATTTATGCTTTGGTCATGTGATGTCAGACACCACTTTAACGTTGATAATTCACCGAAATTTGAACGGAACTGGGGTATTTGCAAAAAGATAAAATAAAATAAAAATAGATTAGGTAGTTAACTGTAAAAATAAAAATTCAAGGGAGAGTTCTTTTCACTTTTACCCTTTATTTAACTATCTACTCCCAAGTGGGCCTTAGACTAGTTGGATAGTAATTTAAGTTGAAAGTGGGCTCCGACTAGATAGATAATTTAAATCAACCCATGACCCATATTTTGTGTGGGATTCAATTTGGCATGGGATGCCCCAACTGAACATGAATTTTGACTGATCCATTAAAGAAGGTCCAACTGTGAGCAAATTGTTACTAATTTTAGTGTGATCTACTATGTTTAAGCAACGTCTACTTTAAAAGTTAATGTTATTATTATTATTATTATTTTTTATGACAAAAATATTAAGGTTTAATGGTTAGTAATTAGTAAGGATGGTAATGGGGCGGGTTTGGAGCAGATTTTCCTAAATCCTAACCCGCCCCGTTTAATTTTTGACAAGTTCATGCCCGTCCCGTGCCTCACGACAGGTTGGATTTTCATGTCCAGCCCCGCTCTGTTGGGAAATATTGTGCCCCGTGCCAGCCCTGCCCGCCTCGTCAACAAATTTTTTTCCTCCACTTTTGGGGACAGAAGAAGACGAAGAATAGATCAATCCTTCTTCCTGAGAAGAATAGATCAAATAAATTATAAAATAAGAGATATATATATATATATATATATATATATATATATAAGTATAAAAAAGGGAGAAGAAGAACTGAAGAAGAATAAATCTACCTGCGTGAGTGCGTGGATTTACCTGAGAAAGAGAAACAGAAACCGGTGAGGGAGAGAGGGATTGAGGTCGAGGGTTTGGTTTTTGAGTTTTGACTCTGTCTTGACTCTTCCCTTGATTCACTGTTCAATTCACACATAAGGTTTAAGAAATTAAGATTGTAAAAGATGGGTAATGGATAAGTCGGTAAAATAAGCAATAAATATTATATATATATATATATATATATATATAGTTATATGCTTAGCGGGGAGGGATCCCAACGAATATGTATAAGAATCCTTACCCGCCCCGTGACCCTCGACAGGTACAAAATTTATATTCATACCCGCCCCAATGATATAAAAGGTGTTCTCATATACATTATTAACGGGCGGGGCAATAAAAATTGACACCTCTGATAATTAGAGGAGAGAAAAATAGGGCAAGGTTCGAATACCCAAAAAATGTGAATTGTTGATACCTACCCCAAGTAAAAATTGCTATTAAGACAACAGGGCAATTGGGTGCAATTGACCATTTAAAACGTCTTGCACAGTTGTTAGATTACATGTGATCTTCTTAAATGTACTAAAAGTGGAAGTCAAAATGATTTTCTAACTATTAATAAGCTAAAAGAGTGTGCAAACCAATCCTCATCAAATCCATCTTTCAATGTGAATTGTTGATACCTACCCCAAAAAAAATGTGCATTTTTGATACCTACCCCCAGGAAAAAAGTGTAATGTTGATCAGTAAACAAATGCAAGTGGGGACTGAAAGCACAGCCTGTTATCTACCAAGAATGGCATTAGGTATCAACAACATGGACATAAAATAGTAGAGCAGTACTCTTTGCTTTACTATTTTATGGGATAGGACAAATAAAGTAGTGAAATTTTAATTTGGAATTCTTTGCTTTAGAGAGCTGCATGAACCCCTTCTCCATACCAAAACCTCTCTGGTTTGTAACCTAAAGACTCAGCAAAGTCCACAAGTTCTCCATTCCCACCACATGACCCAACTTACAGTCTGTATAGAGCTGTACATTTTTTTGTTTTGTTTTCTCCAACTCTCTCTTCCCCTCCATACTCACCTCCCTCACCTGAATACTATTTTCATGAAAGATGGTCACCTCTCTCTCTCTCTCTCTCTCACACACACACACACACACATAACTATATTAGTTTTTAAGAAGACTTGTGATTAGCAAATATAAATACCCCACAAGGTCTCATATGACCATCACTTCTTAAAATCTATTCTTCTGTGGTTTAGTTGAGCCCATTCTACTAGCCGGACAACTTAAATCTCTCTTTCTACCATTAACCCTTTCAAAGAAGAAAAGATGAAGATTGTTTTGGCCACTTTGCTTATAGCTTCTCTGGTTCTGAGCTCCTCTCTCCTTCAACCAACCATGGCTGATCCAAGTAATATAAGTTTCTTCACCTAAAATATGAGTTTAAATCCTCCCTCACCCCCCCTCTCTCTCTCTCTGTGGTGATAGGTTCAAGTATTTTTTTAAAAAGCCAGTTTTTCATGTTTTTATATATATATATTATTAGTCTTGTAGGTTGACATTTCTTAATCAAAGAGTCTGAATTGGACTGGACCACCAAGTCTCAGTCGAGTTTCATTATCAAAGAGCACTGTTATTTGTGCGATAGGCGACACTCACAAGCAATGACACATAATTTGAACGAAAACAATTTAAATTAATGGCGTTATTTGATTGGCAGTGATATTTAACCTTTACGATTTTATCATTGCACCAAGTAATGATACATTTTCTACATAATTTTTTTATTTTTTTATTATTGAACTAATTGGTGTTGTTTTGTATAATATTGGAAGGTTTCTGCGATTCGAAGTGTGGAGTGAGATGTGAGAGTGCTGGAATACCAAAACGTTGCTTGAAGTACTGCAATCTGTGCTGCCAGAAGTGCAGCTGTGTTCCTTCAGGGACATATGGAAACAAGTCGGAGTGCCCTTGCTATAGAGACATGCTCAGCTCCAAGGGCACACCCAAGTGCCCTTGATGCCCATCACCACCTTTTTCACTTTCATGTCATGTATCGAAAGTATTTTTCTTGTACAATATTTATATTCTATGAACGAATAAATTTGAATAAATAAGAGCCAATTGTCTTTGTTTCTTATGGATGTATTGTGACTATATGCAACCTTTTCTTTGCTGATGCGTGAATAAAATCATAATAAACCTGTGTTTTGTTACAATAGACCAGTCTTATCGTTACACCAAATCCACCCTCTTTGAACTATTGTGCAAACTAAAGGAGGACCTTGGCAAAATGTTAAATTTAATTTCATATTTATTGGATCATTTAATATCAACTACTATGTAAATGGACATTTTCATTGCCATAATAATCTTGGGACAAAATGGCTTGAACTTTGATGTCATTCACACACACACACATATTAAATTCGGCAGCTACTTTTTTTATGTACTAGTAAAAGAATTGCAATGCGTCAATCTTAAAAGGGTAGATAGCCCACGTTTATGTTATGGGTCTAAAGAATATAAAATCAAGTCAGCTATAGTGACTTTATAACAATTTGAAATGTATGATCTCAAAAGATTATTTAAAAAATAAATAAATAACTAAAATAAAAATAAAAATAACTGATAAATGAGCACAGAACTGTAGCCATTTCAAAATTTCCATATAACCAAACACAACTTAAGAAATACATATAATAAAAACTAACTTCTTGTGCCTATAACAGAAGCAGAACCATGAGCTAACCAGAACATTAGGTTTCCATATAGCAAATACAGGTTTCATGTTAGCAAGGCAAATGCATTACATAAGGCCGGCTCGAAAAAAAGGTTGGATAAGAGTTTGGTCAAGTATCAGTTACTCAAATTAGAAAATTACATATATGGTTGGTGTGAAGGCTGAGTTGCACTACCCATGTAACTGCCATAACTAGACGGAGCAGCGCTATAAGTTGTTGCAGTAACCCTCTCATCTTGGGGATAGTAGTATGACCTTTGATCGTAGGCTTGCTGAGGGTATGCGGCCTGGCCACTAGGTGCTTGGTAATCGTATGTGCTCGGACCAGCATATGGATACCTCTCCGACGTTCCTGCATATGTTGTTCTCTCGGCAAAAACAGTTGGAGCCTGTCTACCGCCACCAGCAGCAGCAGCAGCAGTAGCAGTGGCAGGTGCACGGAACCCATAGACTCCATTTGCTCGTGGCTTCTTGAATTGTTGCTTTTTACCAAAATCTCCAAACCTCTTCCTATCAGGCTTTGACTTCTCTAGCTGCCCAACCCTTCTCTGAAGTGGATCAAGTGGGTAGTCCTCCTCAAGCTTGTACTCTTGAATGCACCAAATTACAGCTTTCACTGCTGTGAGTTCTTGAGCATTTGCATCATTCTATATGAGAAAAAGTTCCAGTTAGCAAGTGGGAAAGACAATTATCAAAGAAACTTCAAATCGAGGCATACTAGTACCTGTTGACCACTGGCACCTCCCAACCTACTTCCTTTTCCTTGTGAGTTTCTCCTCAGGTCCTTCAGATACGTCTTTAGGAGAGGCACGAGAGGGAACCTTTCTGTCAGCTGGAATGAATGGACAAAATGTACTGCATGAATTTGTTTCTCATTGTTGATCAATTCTTCAACAACACCTGCATAAAATCAGACTTAGTAAATTCCATATATGACTTGTAGCATGCATCTTTCGAGTGTAAAACCACAAGCAGCCATGCCTATCAACTTATTTCCGTGGATCTAAAATTTCTCTAAAGAATTAACAAACTACCAAGCCTAAAGCGATTGAGCGAATGAACATCTGAACTAGATAATGGTCAAGTCTCCAGACCTCATCAGGTCAGTTGATTAAAGGAACACCAACCTGGAATTTTATGTGCTAATCCAAGAGAGTGGCAGAGCTCAGGTGCCCGCCTCTGATGAGCAACTGCAAGAACAAGCTTGCAGAGTTCTTCTTCGTCAAACTCTGAAGCAATACTAAAAGTTCCAAGGAGCTGCAAGAATGCCTCAGCTTCCAATGAATTTCCATTGGCAGCATCAATGCCTTCACCAGCCAACTTAGGCTTCCACTCATCAGCAATGACCTTGGCTTGCTGCTTAATTTCAGGGTTCAGAAGGTGATCGGCACCTGGGTCAGCCCTTGCCAACAAAGTGGCCATGGCTTCCATTAAAATAAGACAGGATTGGCGCATACCCTGAAAGGCAGCATCCCTTATATCCCCTTCTTGGGTACTGTCATCTGGAGGGTAGAAACCCTCCAGTGAAGCCAGCACCAAACGGCCTGGTTCAGTTGCACTTTCCAGTGCGACAGAGAGTTCCGCACAAATGGCAGATTTATTTTTTTGATTCTCCATTGTAAAATTCAGAAGCCCTTTTGCATCCATCTGCTCACAAAATTGTGTCAACTCTGGACGAGGTTTAACCTCACCAGCCACAACTTCAACATTTTCACCTGTTCTATGAGGAGAATTCTCCTCTAAAGCAGCAAGGTGTGCATTTGCATCACCAGGAGAGGTGCTTACCTTGCTTTCTTTGCTGTCTCCACTATCAATGAGTTCCAAAGATGCTGGCAGGTGAATTGCCCGTGCCTCTGCTATTGCACCAACAGCAGCATCTTTTAGTTCCTGAATCCGATCTGACAAATCTTGCTCTTTGGCAGCAACAGCCACCTCTCTCTCTGAAATCATTGTGTGAATCTCAGATTCTTTTTCTATAATTTCCTTCTCCCTAACTTCTAGTTCTTCAAATTTCTTCTTCATCATTGTCTCAAGGTGGCAAAAATGTTCTTCAATTTCAGCCCACTGAACCTTATCTTCAGCAGCATCCTTGTGAGCTTTCAGTTCGAGGAATGCCTTACCAAGCTGTTCTATTAGAGAAGTTGTATCGGTTCCCACTACTTGATCCACATCAGCCATTGCAATGCAAATTATTGGAAGCTGCAAGAGAGATTCTACCAAATGCATTAAAAGACAGGACAGCTAGTGAATACCAAATCAAAATATCCCCCCAAAATGTGAAATGGAAATGCAAGCATACCACAAAAATTACTTATAAGAACATAGAAACACATTATGCCTTTTAATAAAATCCTTTTGAAAAACCATGCCATCGCCTACATCTTAAGCAATCCATGTTTCAAAACTGATACACTATTATAATCACTGTAACCAAACATTGCTTCAATATCATTTATGAATTTCTCATGAAACAGGCCATGTGACACCCCACTCACATGCAAAAGAAGGCAGGCCCATAAATCCTAGTAAGCATGTCAACTCTGCTAATTTAAATGATTTAATTCCATAGCAGAGAAGCCAGATAGACTCAAAACAGTGTTTCTACTCGCAGGTCATTGACAAAGTCAAAGAGGCTTCAGGACAGAAAGCAGGAATGCTTCCTCGTTGACAAATTTCGTTTTTTGCTTCAAAAAGATAGACAAAAGGGAGCCTAAACCGTGTATAATTTTACATGTTTCACCCCCCCCCCCCCCCCCAACACACACACACACACACTCTTCTCTCCTCACTCTTTCCCAACAGTTAAAAAGAAAAATGCTACAGAAAATAACAAAGCACAACAAGAGGCAAATTGATTTTGCAAATGCATGTGATAATAATACACCCAACTTAACAGGGGCAATAACATAAAAGAAAAGGATTGTACCCAACAGCAAGACTTTTTAAAGTCTAAGATAGCATAAATGTCTCACTAAGATACTAGCAGCGTGCCACACAGCATGCACCTGCAAAATTTTTTTGCTTTTTTTCTTTACTAATTTTACACCACTATAAGGCGAGGCAGAAATTTTCTTTGCTTGGGGTTGGGAGTGTGGGGCTTGTTAGGGAAGGGGAAGAAACTGAACTGCAACGTGTCACAGAGTGAGGTAGAATGAGCTGAAAAGAAGTATTTATATGAAATGACTTTTAACCCTCAATATTAAAAGTATACCACCTTCAGTTCAGGGTTCTTGGAATAGTTGGCATTTGTTATGGTGGTGAACCCACACAAATAATCTCATTAAACAGTAAGAAGAAAGTTAAATCATGCACGGAATCTAGGAATCAACAGCATCCAAATTGTAGCAGTCTGAATGCTTCTAAAAGTGGAGAAAATGATGCATTTGCAACACCGTTGATGCATTTTTGTACATCAAAAATTACTTAAACATTAGGTCCAAAAAACCCATATATGCAGAGTCCAGGAATCAACAACATTTGTTTCCAAATTTGTTAGTCTGAATTCTTCTTAAAAACGGAGAAAAAGATGCATTTTTGTACATCAAAGATTTCTTTAACTTTAGGTTCAAAGAACCTATACATTTTAACTTTCTACCAATCAATATGAACCCATCTATCTATCTATCTATCTAGAAGAGAACATGATATGGCTGATTTGCAAACATTATAAAAACCAGTTATGAGATTTTATAAGACAGAAATATATGCTCTGGCAAATCCAACAAATATTAAATAATTTGAAATTAATAATTCCAGGAACAGTCTGGTTAGAATTTTTAAATTCATAATTTAAGGAACTGTCTGGTTAGAATTTCAGTAATACTCTTTTGCTTTTAAAAGTAAAGAAGAGGTGCAGGGTAACAGCTAAAAATGAATAAACAATTAGATAACTGAAGTGAATTTGTCAATAAACTTTACAAGCATTTCTTCAGATGCAAAGGAAGTACAAATTTATGCTATGTTTGGTTGGAGGGATGGATGAGCCTTCTCATGTTTGGTTGGAAGGGAGGGAAGAAAGGGAGGAAGCATAAGTTTTCTTATCTGTCCAAAAATGGGCAGAAGAGAGAAGGGAAAGAGTGAATAACTACCTAATTTATAAGAAACTAATTTTGACCTTTCCAAAAAAAACAGTGTTATAATTCTAAATAATGAGGGTATATTGGTAAAAAGATATAAAAATTCTTCTTCCCTTCCAACCAAACAAAAAAAAGGTGTCACCCCATCCATCATGTTCACTATCCCTTCCACTCAACCAAACAAAAAGTGAGGGAGACACCTTCCCTTCCCTAGGGATGCCGCATCCATCCCTCCCCCCTCCCTTTCATCCAATTTTTCCATCATTCCAACCAAACGAAGCATTATTTCAACTGGAGTCGTTGAAGTTGCTCAACACAATTTCCACCAAAACAGAACCTACACAGCCTGGATTGTATCAAGCTGAAACGGGTTCAAGTCATCAAGGATCCAACCCAGTTATTGTCCAGTCCAAATAGGTAAGCCCCTTTAATCCCAAATTTTCTTCTGAAGGATTTTCTCAATAGAATCATCCCACAGTATTTCCAAAATAAGAATCTACCCTTACATTAAGTCAAGATTTGGGCAGACAAAATTCATCAGCAAGAACTATCTAGAGCAATCATTCTTGATAATAGGTTCTAAATCTTCAATCCTTCGTTACCTGGACTCGGGTACGTGTGTCGGGTGCCGGTACGTATCCAAGCATCAAAGATCTAAAATCACCAAGTAGAACAACAAAGGGACACAGATAAATATTAATATTATCTAAGATTTTTGTTTAATTTTATAGAGTAAAATAATTTCTTTATGTTACATAGTATTTAATATAGGCATTTCACTCTTTTTGAAGCAATGATATATTAAAATTGAATCATAAAAATATGCTTTTTTTAGGTACATGTCCAACCAAAAGTGGTGGACACATATCCCATACCCATGTCCCTATACAGCGCGTTTGTGTCGGGTACTTCAACTACTTTTGAAGAGTTCATGTAACAGCTTCAATCTCAACGATGAGGATTTATGGAGAAAGTTATAGAAGATGGCTCAGTTATTTTGGGGGAAGCTTATTTTCCTGTGACACTGGCAACAGGAAATGCATCTATCTAGATGCAATCTCACTAGGGTCCCGATATGGTTAATTTGACATTGAAATTATGAAATAAAAACGGCTTAATTTTCGTAGCTCTTGTGTTTGGAAACCCATTTCTCCTGAATCACATTAAGTGTAGGCATGTGCCCAGGTCGGTGTTAAAATTAATACGGACCAACATATCCCAAAACTTTTTCCTTTAATCTCAGCCACAGTAGTGACCCCTAGAAGATTGGGGTTGAAGTTCCTTGAATGTGCAAAAATGTCTCTTTTGCAAGCCTTTGGCACTTGAACTTTTTCCAATGGTAAAATAAAATTAAAAGATTGATGAATTCGCATGAGTATTAAAAGACATTTATAGAGTTGCATATTTATTTGTTTGGTATTTTTTATCTCAATTATTAATAGATAGTTTTGACAAAGTGTATAACAACGTTGTTGAATTAAACCATCATAACATTCAACAAGAAAATTAGATATGCAGGATTGTGTGATAATAAACTTAGTAGTTATGACTCACAAGACATCAAAGGATCAAGACCAGATTGCTGAGATGATTGTTATGCAATGTGCCGAGTAGTCTTTTCATGAATCTAGTGGTTTAGAAAGTCAAAGAACTCAAGAATGTTATGGAAATTGTTGAGAAGGAGAACCAAGGAAATAAAAATTTCTTTATCTCAACCACTCAAAAACAAGAATCAGAGTTTTGGTGGGTTTGGTGGCTGTGGAAGAAGGAATGGTGGAGGTGGAGGTGGAGGCAGATGTTTTGGCAACAGAGGTCTGGATATCACAGAGGTGGATTCTGTGGTGACTGTACTGGTTTTGGAGGTCGTATTTCTGGTGATACGAATGGTAGAGGAGGTGCAAATTGTCAACCTATGGCGGCGCAAGGAGATGTGGAGAAGACAAACAAATCTCATGCATGGGTGGTGCGTGAAAATGAGGTACATGGTGAAACCCCAAAATTTACGAAAACAGAATTCCCTTATTTGTGACAGGTGGCAGTGTACAGCTGGGAATCAAGTGAACACGTGCTCTGTAACTAACTCAACTAAAAAATCAGTGGTTGCAATATTAATGAAGATCCAACAAAAGGCCATACATTGAAAAGTACTCTTATGAAATGCCTGTTCACTGCCATCCTTTGGAGTATATGGAATGAGAGGAATAGAAGATTTCATGGTGTGCATGTTCGTAGTCTACAACAGTTGGTCATTGACACTTGTCATGAAGGTTTATTTGCTACTGGTATTACAATCTCTAACATAAGTGTCACTTTTGACTCATTGCAACCTTTGGGTGGTCTAAGCTTGTTTGTTTTTGCTGGTTCTAGGGATTGTCCTAACCTTTTCTGTTCTTGTTTGCTTTAGTGACCTTGCTGATCACTTTCTTATCATGTACTATAATGTTTTTACTGTAACAATAAAATACTCACATTCAGGAAAAGAAAAAATCATTAATGAAGATCCAGGGGTGGGAATCCTAAAAACTCCAAAGGAGTAGAATGCAAAAATAAGTGATCCAACAATGGATATGACGGGTCAAAATATAAATGGATCTTGGACAAAAATTGTTGCAGGTGAACCCAGTAAACCAAAAATATGGTTACCATTTTTCCCTCCTACTGTCCAAATTGGCGAGGTAGTGGTGGAACCGCCAGAAGCAATCTCCAACGAAGGAGTTAATGATTGAAATTGTTGCATTGTTGGATATTTGTTGATAGGAAGATTCCATACTTCATTGTAAACTCAATAGCTCATAAATTATGGGAAAAATTATGTCTGAAGAAGGTTCTAACTAGATAGAGATACTGTTCTGGAACAAGGACCATGGCACTTTGCTGACAAACACGTTGTTTTAAAGAAATGGCACATGGGTATGTCTTTGCATAAGGATTGGCTGGATAAGCTTCCAATATGGGTTAAATTTTCAAATGTTCCAATGGAATTTTGGATGTGAAAGGGTTGAGTTATACTGCTGGTGTTATCGGTGAACCTTAACATGCAGATTCTATAACTGAGGAGAAGAAATTTGGGTTGAATTTAAAGCTCTAAAACACCTAATTCGGGAATTTAGACTTGCTTTACCAAATGGTGAAAAAAATCCCATTTATGCTAAGTACCAGTTGGTTCATTTGAGGTGTTCTTATTGTCCAATCTTGGGGCACTCCTTGAAAAGCTGTCGTGTTGCTAAAGTCAGTGCTACTACTAGTATGGAGGAAAAGGTGAGTCCAAAGCAAATTGAAAATGAAGGAGAAGTGTGGATTGCTGTTACAAAGAAGAATAAAAGAGGAACAGCTACTAAAATAGAAGAAGAAATAATACAAGGTCACAAATTGGGGATGGTAATTGGGTTTAAACCCATTGTGAAAGGCAAAGTCCATGAAGCTAGCCCAAGACATGATTGCTGTGAAGAGGCCAATGGTATCTGAAGGAACCTATTCTGGAAATCAGATGAAGAACGACTGAATGAGGGCAAAAAGAATGGGAAACAAAATAAACTCGGGGGGTCTGGGAATAGATTCCAAACCTTGGATTTAACAGAAGATGAAAATGTGACTTAGACAAAGAAAAGATTGTGGAATATAGGAATAACAAAAATAAAATAAAATGTGTTTTGACAACACTAATAGCCTCTCACTGTGACACTGAAAGTGCTCAACCAAAAAATGCAAAGGATATGAGGTATGTTAATAAACCCTCTATACACTATGCTAAAAATGTATCTCCAGGAGAACACAATACTATCAAAAAGGGATTAAATCTCTGTTTGAGAGAATGTATTCTCCTTCACTTCTTTGCAAATGATATTTGGTTGTCTGAATGTTAGAGGATTGAATAATACTCATAAACAATTTGAGTTAAAAAAAACTCGTTAGAGCTTACGATATTTCCCATTTTTGGGTTGGTTGAAACTAAAGTGAAGAGGCTAAATGCTGATAAAGTTCTTTGTTACCTTGTTCTCGGTTGGCGTATTTTGAAAAATTATAATTGGTCTGCATTGGACAGAATATGGGTGTTTTGGGACCCAAAGAGGCTGACAATTCAAGTGCATGGTCTAACTGACCAGATTATAACTTGCACTATAATTTAATTGTGTGGGGAGCTTTGTTTATGGAGACAATTCTTACATCAATAGAAGAAACATGTGGAGGGAAATTGTGCAATTTTCAAATACTGTCAAAAATATGCCTCAGTTTATCATGGGGGACTTCAATGCTGTGAGAAACAGAAACCAAAAATTTAGACGATCAGACAAATGGAAAAACTATATGAATGATCTAAATAATTGTATTGTGGATGCTGAATTAGTGGACTTGAAATACTCAGGCGTTCATTATACCTGGACTTACAGAACCTACTTCAGTAAGCTGGATAGAATACTTGCAAATGATGCCTTAATGATTACTTATGCTACTGCTGAAGCAATTTTTGAACCAGTTGCCGTATCAGATCATCCTGTTGTTGAAGCTAAATTTTAAGATAAATTGACCTTTTAGATTTAACAATTATTAGGTAATTAGAGGACGGAACCAGAGAATAGAGGGTAGTCTTATCTTTTCAGTTCAAAGATTGAAGCTGATCAAGGGAGACTTAAAGCTCTTAAATAGAAAATTATAGTGATCATTCAAATCAGGATGTGGATGCTAGAAATAAAGTAGTGGCTGCTAAAACTTACATGGATAGAAGTCCTATGTGTGATCAAGCCAAGCAAACAGAAAAAGCTTGTCTGAAAGGATTAATTCACCTGCACAGAGCTGAGGAGGTTATAACTAAACAAAAATCTAGAATTCAGGGGTTGAAGACTGGGGACTTTAACACAATTTATTTTCATAAAGTTGAAAATCAAAGAAGAAGTTTCAACAAATTTAGTTCTATTTCTAGAACAGGCGGAACTGAATTGGTGGAGGAAGATCAAATTAAGACCAAATTTGTATCCTATTTTCAAAATATGGTAAACACAGAACCTGGGCACACTGAGTTTGAAGATATCAGTCAGTTTATTTCTAGTCCCTATTTCAATTGAGCAAGCTCAAAGTATGGCTACAGATGTCACTGTTGAGGATGTCAACAAGGTTGTCAAAATCGGGATTGTACGTAGAATCGTTTTGGGTTCCATAGAATCGGAATTGTAGAATCGTAAGATTCTACCAACTTGTAAAAGAAAATTCAAAATAATTTCTAAAATAAGATTGTGTATAAAATATATCAAGATTAAGGCTAAAACACTTCCAAGTTATTCAACCAATAATTCTAGTTATGCAATTGCAATACCGACATAAACATAAACAGAACACAAAACAGAAATCTTCAAATTGTGTGGCTGCCAATTAATTTTGATCAAGTGGTTAATGGAACAGCAAAATTTGCTTATAATTTTCATACACTGGGAGCATAACAATGGCAAGACAATTGAACAATAATGTGCAAAAATTGTTTCACCAGTATTCGTAACAAGGGTGTGAACAAATTAATCCAAAAAATAATTCAATAATAAAGCACAAAATTTTCAGTCAAATTATTTACGAGGTTCAAGGACTTCAACTCCAACAAATCATAAGTATGTGTACTTAACTGTAATCACAAATCTTTAATACAATCATGTTGTCATACTTTTTCTTCATGTCTCCTGATCAGACATACATGCAATTACCGGGGAAAAAAAAAGTTGCATCAAAGCAAATCGGCACCTCATATCTCTCACATTCAGTTAGCACAGAAGTTAGAATAAAAGCACAAAAATAAAACACACACACACACACCTTGAGTTTGTAACTTTGTTGCTCGTCAAAGGGAAGAAGCTGCTCGTCAGAGTTTCAGAGAGAAGAGGCTAGGCTGTCTGATTTCATGATTTAGGACCTTCGGTTTGTAACTTTGTTGCTCGTCAGAGAGAAGAGGAGGCTATCTAATTGCACGATTTAGGGCTTCTTTTTTTTGCACGATTTAGGGTATTCTTTGTGCTTGGGCCTAAAAATGGTTGGGCTTTCTTATTAAAAAGAGCCCAAACCTTTGAATAAAGCTCAAACAAGGTGTACCAGCCCAATAGAAGGCCAGGCAAGGGGTTAGAACAGAATCACTCAAAATGGGTACCATAGTAAGATTCGATTCTACGATTCCATGAACATTCCATCGATTCTACAGCAATTTTGCTCAAGGACTGATTTTTGTGCGATTCAAATCGTTTTGGGTACCTAGGATGGTAAAATCATGTAATTTACCACCTAGAATCGCGATTTTGATAATCATGGATGTCAAGACTACTTCTTTCTCGCTTAGTCACAGTTTGGTTGGAGAGAAATGAAAGAAAAAGAAAGAAAGCTAACGAAGGGAAATGGTATATTGTGTTTGGTATAAAAAGTTGAAAGGAAAAGAAAGAAAATGGAGGGATTTGTTGGGATGCAAATTAGGCATTAGGTGTAGCTTTGTCTACCTACCCAAAAATGGGAGGAAGTGGTGCTCTGGAAAGCTCTTTTTTACTAAGAGAGGATTAAGACAAGGGCACTCAATATTCCCTTACTTTCTTTGTTTTAGCTGTGAAAGGGTTGACTGGAATCATAAACAAGAATACTGAAAGGGAGGGTTTTAAGTACCACTAGAAGTGTGCCAAACAAAAATTGACTAATGTGATGTTTGAAGATGATTTATTTATGCTTTGTGCTGGTAATGCTGATTCTAGGAACACTTTGGTTGAAGCCTTGCGAGAATTTAGTTTATACTTTGGGCTGAATCCAAATCCTGAAAAAAAATCGATTTTCCCTTCTGGAATTGATGCAGATACAAAGAACACTATTCTTCAAGCTCTAACATAATTATTTACCAGACTGGAAGAAATAAAAATAAAAAAAATAAAAATAAAAATAAAAGATGATTGTAAAAATCTGGTTGAAAGAATTGCACCTAGAGTTAAGTCATGGTGCAGCAGATACTAGATTTATCTCCTTTGCTGCAGTCAAAGAAATAAACAGAATCCTAAGGAATTATTTGTGTAAAGGAGTTCTTTTCAAAATGGCAGCTCTAGAGTAACTTGGGAAGGTCGCTGTTTGCTTGCCAAAGAAAGAAGGTGGGTGTTGAAAGACTTCGTGTCATGGAACAAAGCAGCTATGGTTAAACATATGTGAGAAATTCTTCAACCGAAGCCAAACTCTCTTTGGACTAGCTGGGTTCAAAACAATCTCATAGAGAACAAAGATTTATAGTCTCTTGGAATTCATGTTGATTGTTCATGAAATCTTGGGTTAAGAAGGGAATTCAGATTGGGATTATGCACAAAATCGGTGATTATAGTGACCTTGTGGGCGGGTGTGTGTGAGCGTGTTTAAGTGGCACCAGTAGGCTACCACACTAGCCGAGTTACAAGTGTATAATCCCACATCGCCTGGGTGTGGAAGGGGCAAGTGCTATATATAGATTCAACACCCTTCTATGACATAACGCATTTTAAAGCCGTGCTGGCCGTGAACCTACCAGAACTCCAGAGTTAAGCGTGCTTAACTTTGAGTAGTACCAGACAATATTGTGTCTGGTTAGGGTATACAAATGGTATCAGAGCCTGACCTAGCCGGAAGTATGGCCAACGAGGACGTCGGGCCCCAAGGGGGGGTGATTATAGTGACCTTGTGGGCGGGTGTGTGTGAGCATGTGCAAGTAGCACCACTAGACTACCACACTAGGCGAGCTATAGGTGCACAATCCCACATTACCTGCGTATAATGCATTTTCAAGCCGCGCTGGCCGTGAACCTACCATAACTCCGAAGTTAAGTGTATTTAACCTGGAGTAGTATCAGGATGGGTGACTTGGGAAGTCTCTGGTTTGGGGGAGTTAAATGGGTAGGGTGAGGATCATTACAAATGGTATCAGAGCATGACTCAGCCAGAAGTGTGCCAACAAGTATGTTGCCCCCAAGGGGGGGCGATTGTAGCGACCTTGTGGGCAGGTGTGTGTGAACGTATGCAAGTGGCACTAATAGACTACCACACTGGGCGAGTTACATGTACACAATCTCACATTGCCTGGGTGTGGATGGGACAAGTGATATTTTATTTTAAATGTTTTACTTTGATTTTTTGGCTATTTGATTACGTGTTTAATTAAATTTGTTAATTAAATATTTTATTAACTTAAATGTTTTATTTGAATTAAATGTTTAATTGAAATTATGTGCTTAAATATTTTATTTGAATTAGTTAATTTATTTGTTGTGTTTGTTGATTTGTAATTAATTGTAGATTAAATGATTAAATGTTTATTTTGTTTCATTTTTATTTTATTTTATTTTATGGATATGGTTAGTAGTAATGGATCAATCAATTGAGTCCCATGGACTACTTGAATAGGAGGTTTAATGGGTATGGATAATTACCCATAAATAGTTGTATATGTATATATATATATATAATTATATATATATAAGGAAATCAATTTATTAATTAATATTATTGTCACCTTAGTATTAATAATAAATAATCTAATGTATAGTTATATATTTATATAATAAGGATATACCTAGATTATATATGTATCATATTTTTAGTTACTTTTTTAATATTTTAGTTTTTATTTTCTTTATTAAGTTGACTTAGTTTAGGAAAAGGATTAGGGTTGTTATTTAGCCTATAAATATATAACTATAGGTTTGTAAAAAGGGAGCTTGAAATATCCACGTATTATATTTTAGAGGAAAAAAGGCAGAGAGTTTAGAAAGAGAAGGAGGAAGAGGAAGGAAGAAAGATGAGAAGAACCATTAGAGAAGAAGATCAAGGAAGATGGAGTTTAACTTTCGATCCGAAAGTTTAAGGTAAGTTCTTGTTCTATACTTCTCCCTTAGATTAGTGATCTATGTATCTCTAGTATAACTTTAAAAATGTTTAAAGAACAATTAAAACTAGAATCTATAATTTAATTGATTTAGAATATAGGTTTTATGAATTATGTTCATGTTTGTTCTTGTTGTATCAATTGATAAATTCATGGATTAAATCTAATTTCTTTATGGATTTTTACATGTTATAATTATGTAATTTCATGCTTGGGTGTAGATGGGGCTTAGTAACATACCTTAGAACCCTTAACAATGAAGAATAGGCTTACAGTTGGATTTTCGGGCTGATTCACGTAACAGTGCTCGATCCACTATTAAAATGTTGAAGCCTTGGAAGCAAAGCTCGAGCCATGGGTGAAAAACTCGAGCCTTGAATGCAAAGCTCAAGCTATTAATGCAAAGCTTAAGCTATTAATAAAAAGCTCGAGCCATGGATAGAAAGCTCGAGCCTTACCTGGGGAATTCTCGTAAACAGTGTTTAAATTGGCCTTAATTGATTTTGAGGGGTCCCGAACATTAAATAGGGACTATGTATGAGTTTAAATAAATTTTAAATAGATTCGATCATAACGATGCATGTTATTTGAGTGTTGTTTAAAGAATGAATTGATTTAATCTTTTTAATTTATTCTAGCAATTAAGATTAACTGTTTAACATGAATTGTATTTGGAGAATGTTTACTTGACTATGAAATAAACTATCAGCATGTTTAAGATTTAGTTTGTTGGGAGAAATATGATATAAGAAGCTTAAATAAATTTTAAGTCATTCCTATTTTGTGATAGTATGATATTATATTATTATGTTTATTCTGGATTATTTGAAGTATTACTTTATTTGTTACATCAATTATTGGATTGTATGGATGTAATGCACCAGTATGGAATGGTGGCATTCTAGGGACGGATTAATTAAAAAGGTTAAGTCATACCTATTCGGATTTATAAGGGAACATATTAACTAGAAAGTTAAGTCCTACTTATTTTCATGTCAAGCCACTAAATTAATTGGATGACATACTGGATTTTATTTTATGCCTTAGACAGGAAGGATTTTATATATGTGGGCATGTTCCATGACATGAGCTTGAGTCTCAGGATCAGTGGTTAGGTTGCGTATAGTGCATAAGGTGGTTATCTAGCTATAGTGGTTTGTAGTGTGCCCTAGTAGGTCTAGGTACTCATGTCCACTATATGTGCGTTTTGCATGTTGCCTACTATTCAGGTTAAGGTCGCCCTATAGTCCAGTGGGAGCCCTTTTAGTGTATATCTATATATATTTATGGAGTATGTAGTTATTGCATGGGTTAGCTATAGATGTATAGTTTCTCCGGTCTCTATTTGGGTTGTTGTAGAAAGGACTTATTCGTGGGCCTGACCCACTATTATTTTCTAGGTGTTCGTCGATCAGTTTCAGACATAGAGCTTGTTCGTGCTGAGCAGAGACTGTCCACATCATTCTTCCGATTCTATGTAGGATTCTCTTTATGTTCTAGTTTTTGGATTTATTTATTTTATTTTTAATTGGTTTTTGGATTAGGGGTCCACATGATGGATTCCCGAGTTGCAATTTTAATTAATTACTGGTATCAAAGAATTTAGTTATTAGAGGATTATTATTAGATTAATTAATGGGTTTATTTATTATTATTAGGTATTCTTCCAACTTTTATTCTTTATTCTTAATTCATTTTCTATTCTATGTTCGATTAAATACTTTAATTGTTTGGTATCCCTCAGATCTGTACTCGGACTTGATCATCCGTGGCTCTAGAATCGAGGGGTATCACATGTAGATTCAATATCCTTTTATGATACAATGCATTTTAAAGTTGTGTTAGCCGCGAACCTGCCAGAACTCCAGAGTTAAGCATAACAATATTGTGTCTGGCTAGGGTGAGAGACGTTACTGTGATGTTAAATAAAATCTTTATGAAATGAATATTGACTTCCTATGGAACCCATAATTCTTAGGACAAAGGTTGGAATCATAAAAGAAACATGTTTAGGGAATCAAGCAAAAGCCCTACACATAATAAGTAATGGATCGTGGAACTGGCATTCAACAAAAGATTTTCATGCTACTACAATGGCTATACCTATT